GCCATTTACAGGAATATTGAAAAGTTACAAATTAAACAATAAAATGCATTATCCTCCTATATTGTCAGATATATGTTCACAAAAAAACTAGAGAAATTTCTGATGTAATTAGTAGCAAATCATGAGATATTTATAAATTGAAAATATGAAAATTAAAATAATTAATAAAACATGAATATAAATGTTACAAAATTTAATTTTTTTCTTGCCTCATTTCAGCAAAATCACCAAGTACAATGGATGTTACAATAGAAATTATTACAAAATTTGACCTCGGATATTGCTATCTATCCTAGTTGGCAATCTATGCTGGGTTCACAAATCTAACTATTACAATAATTTAAGACAATGACAAAAGAAGCATGCAAACACACAGAAGTACCTGTTCAAAATCCGGGATGGCTCTCCGACCTTAGGGGTCCGTGGAAAGAAAGAGTGACCCACTGGAATCCTTTATTCTTATATAGTGGACATACAAGGGGAGGTTCCATGGAATATTCTATCCCCAAAAGGGCAAAGGGGTAGAATTACAAATGAAAAGGTGAGTGTAACTCAGCCCCACCAGGTGACGCCTACCCCTGGAGCCACACCTCATTATCCAAGTTGGGGTAAGGCCCAATGTATTGCAGGCTGCAACAACAGCTCCATTCTCCATTACTCAGGACTTTAAGGTGTGTACAGTCCAGAGCGGTTCCCAACACTCTGAGAGTAATAATCTAAATGATCCATCAAAAAAATATAATCATTATCAAAATATGAATAATTTGAATGCTTTAATCAAAATATATACATTAAAATAAGTGTAAAGCCTTTCAACTGAATTATTTTCATACATTTAAAAATACTATTTTCAAATTAAATATTCAAAATCATATTTTAGAATTAAAAGCAAATACAAATTATAATTGATAGTTATTAAAACTTTAGAATTGAAACAAAGTTGAAAAATACTTAAAATCTGACGATATATTTTTTAAAAAATTAAATGATCTATGATCCCATTTAATGTTCATGTTTTAATTTCTAATCCTCTAAAGAATCAGCATCATGCTTTATGCAGGTTGTATCTATAGTAACATACATACAAAATTTGAGTAATGTAAATTAATATTACAAAATATTCCTCAGTCTCCATGTGCAACTTCTTTTTGTCAGTAATTCTGAAACCATGAATTGGAACATGAAGAAAGGCAAGGACACAGCCATTCATCTCTGCTAGGAAACAAAATTCATTGTGAAAGAATCTACTGAGCTCATATTATCTCAGAGGATTTGACATGTTAATTAATTTATCTTTTCTCTTTCCTAAATATTTGTGTCACTCAATTTCCCTAATGTTTCTAAGTAGTGTTCATCTCCAAGAGTAAAAACTTTAACCCATTAATGATTCAAGAGAAAATTAAGACTGTCAAGTCCAAGTTCCAAAGGCTACATACATGCTTAACAGGTCATTTGTTTGCAACATTAAAAATTAAGAACAAGGATTTGCAACTTTGTGATTCTTCTCCAGCATGAAGGTAATTTTGTGCAGTGTAAGTATATAAACAATGGACCAAATGTCCAGGACTGCGCTTCTATTACACAAGACCTCCCTGGTTGTTCTCAGCTAAGACTCCAATGTCAGAATTATTTCGCATTCAGTAAGCAGCTTCAGATGTCTCCCTTTACTAGTTCATTCATTTAGGATACACAATAAAGTTATCTAGATATCACTTCCTGAGCACATGATGATGTGCTTTGGTTTGACATCTGGAGGGGTGACTTGCAAAGCCCATCTTCACCCGCAATTCAGACTCTGGAACTAATGAATGCCCTGAAATTTTTTTCTTAAAATGCCTCTTTCATACATTGGTGAAAAGACAGCCTCTTCAACAAATGGTGCTGGGAATACTGGAAATCCACATGTAGTAGAATGAAACTGAACCTCTATCTCTCACCCTGTGCAAAACTCAACTCAAAATGGATCAAAGACCCAGAGATTAAGCCAGAAACCCTGCACAAAATAGCAGAAAATGTAGAACATATTGGCTCGGGAACTGACTTCCTTAAAAGACTTCCAAAGTGCAAGAAGTAAAATCAAGAATCAACAAAAGGGATGGCATCAAACTAAAAGCTTTTTCACAGCAAAAGAAACAATCAAGAAATGAAGAGAGACTATAGAATGGGAGAAAATTTTTGCCACCTGCACCTCAGATAGTGTGTTAATCTCCAGGATATATAAAGAACTCAAAAAACTTAATATCAAAAAAAACAAATAACCCAATCAATAAATGCCAAAGGAACTGAACAGACACGTCTCAGATGAAATACAAATGGTCAACCAAATATATGAAAAAGTGTTCAACATCTCTAGCAACTAGAGGAATACAAATTAAAATTACATTAAGATTCCATCTTATTCCAGTCAGAAGGGCAATTATCAAGAATACAAGTAACAATAAATGCTGGCAAAAATGTGGGGGGAAAGGTATATTCATACATTGCTGGTGGGACTACAAACTGAGGCAACCACTCTGTAAAGCAGTATGGAGATTCCTCAAAAAAACTAGGAATGGAACCACAATTTGACTCAGCTATCCTACTACTCTGTATATATATCCAAAGGATTTTAAATCAGTATACCATAGTGATACAGCCACATCAATGTTTATAGCAGCTGAATTCACAATACCTAAGATATGGAACCATCCTAGGTGCCCTTCAACAGATGAATGGATAAAAAAATGTGGTAGAGACACACAATAGAATATTACTCAGCCATAAAGAAGAATGCCTTTATGGTATTTGTTAGTAAATGGATAGATCTGGAGACTATCATGCTAAGTGAAATAAACCAGTCTCAGGAAACCAAGGTGCAATTTTTTCACTAAGTGAAAGGTAACCTACAATAAAGGGTGAGGGGGAATTAACAGATATTCAGTAGATTAGACAAAGGGGAATGAAGGGAAGAGACGGGGAATAGGAAAAGGAAAGACAGTGGAATGAATCTGAAATAATTTTCCTATGTACATATATGAATACACCATAGAGTGTCCTACCATCATGTATATCCAAAAAAATGGGGTCATAATTAGAATAAGATACATTCTATGTTTGTGTAATTATATCAAAATGAATTCTACTGTCATGTGTAACTAAAAAGAACAACAACAACAACAAAAATACCTCTCTCACCCTATGCAACTTGGTTTTCAGTAATTCTGGAACCGTGAATTGGAACATGAAGAAAAGCAAAGAAAGTGTCAAGTGGTTTATCTTAGAAAGCTGAACTATGCTGCTTTGAAAACAAGCTTCAAAATATCACAAAAGTGTTTCTCCTGTATTTTCTTGAGACATAGTTGTAAAAGCTACATGAAGTAATAATTTCTAAGAATCGATTAATGTTTTGCTTGTTGAGACAAAATATAAACTAGTAGAAGAAACACACACTCCAGGCCAGACAGGCCTTGGCTCAGACCCCATTTCTCCCACCCTAAGCTTATTGTTTTGGGACAAATTATATAGCTTCTTTGAGCCTCAGTGTTTTTATTTGTAAATGAGATAATAATTCTGTGTTCACAGTGTCAGTCTGAACACTAAATGGTGCAACGACCGTGGAATGAGGGGTGACAGAAGAGACTCCAAAAATTGTACATATTGGTATTGATAAGCAAAGAATTATAGAAACTGGTTACACTGAATTCATTCGCCGGTGTAGTACGTATGTATTGATCCCACCATATGCCAAGCCCCTGGGCACAGTGCTGAGAATTCAAAGGCTGTTGCTTTATACTAGGAGCTTGACATTTTTATGGGGGTACAGATGTGCATAACAGAGACAGGGAAGTGGTATGCAAGCACAAATAAGGGAACAGCAAACTTTGCAAGGAGAGTTAGCAAAGACTTCTTAAGGAAGTCTGTAATGATGGCAGCTAGATGAGCTAGAGTGTACCAGGGAATAATAAGAGGGGCACCTGGGGCAGGTTGCAAAAGCACGGAGCTACGAAAAGGCTTTTCACCTCGGAGAAGAGTAAAATGTTGAAAAGAGGCAGAGTAACACTATTGGGCACCTTAGGTGGTTAACTTGAACCCATAAGAGCAGCTTATGTTGTTTGAAATTAGCTCAGATACCAAGGTAATCTGTCAACAGTGTGGCTCCAATTGATCGCAAAGAAAATTTCAGTTCCCTGACATGTGCCACTTTCGATGGGCTGGCCTAAGAAAGGTTGGCTCCAGGGCCCTCAGTATGCTAGTGTTTGTCAGTACACACCACTTTTCTTAAAAAGTACTAAAATTGGAGGCAGAAGGGAAACAGTTATTTTAGATCTAGGACTCATGATTTCTAGCTCTTCATTCCCCTGTAATTTCTGTGATGGGTTGCCCTTTTCAAGAGGAACTCCCTGGGACCTATTCTAAAAATTGCTGTAACTAAAATACACGTTTCACAGCTAATAACCCAACAGTACTCCATTCCAGAAGCAGAAAAGGAGGGTGACACAAAATATCTCTGCAGAAAATATGTCTTCAAATTTTGTAAAGTGGTGTGCAAACATTTCAAAGTAATCTATTGGAAACGAGTGAAGGGAACACCACAGCTAGAGCATCAGAAAGATGCACAGAAAGGAACAGCCCAGGGCCAACAAGCCAGGAAGGGCAGGACTTGATGAAGCAAAGAAGCTCCTGCCTGGACACCTCCAGGGGCCGACAACGATTTTCCCAGGGAAATAACAGTCTTGCTGTTCTTCTGGGGGCAACTGTCCATGCACAACAGTTGCTTCCAGCACAATCCCTGGGTTGTGAGGTGGAGTTGGAGCAGAGGACTGATGATTGTGTAGGTGGAAATCAATCTACTCCATAGTCTAGACAATGACTCAATTCCATGATGGAACATTTTGAAATTTACATGTGGTGCTCTCCTCTAATGATAATCTCTCATTATTATTTTCTGATATTAGAAAATTTTTATTTTCTAGAACAGATTCTTTTCAGTCAAAGGAAGCCAGTTGTCTTAATCTACTCACCATTCCGTGATTCAACCACCCTGGGATAAAATTATCAAGCAACTTTGGGTATATCATCTCTCTGTCACAGGCATAGATGGTCCAGAACACTGATACGACGAACTGAAAAGGAAAAGAAATATTTTATTTTGAGTTCATTAACTGTCTACAACATACAGTCTGTTGATTATCTGTTGTTAAAAGAACCCAACAGAATTTGAAACTGATGCTAAAAGTCAGAAAATAAACCAGCTCATGGCTGTAAACATGGGTCAGTTTGTGGTGACAGTTGGGGTGCCTCCTCTCTCTTAGGACTCCCAACTGTGTTCTCTAAGGCAGAGCAAGAGGGAGAGGAAAGAGGCCTGTCGTCAGGAGCAGCACCATTTCAGGGCTAACTGAGCTGGTATGATTCCTCTCAAGAGGGTTTAAAAGTTCGCTGGTGGTTTTCTCGGATCCCATTCCCCACTTTACAGAGCTAGCACACATTCAAGAAGCTGTAGCCTTCGTCCCTTTTCCTTGAACCCATCATGTGGTTTAAATTAATCTTCACCTTCTCAAGTTTCCATTCCACCACTAACAGCACTGAAACCGCTGCTTATAAAATGTCCCAAAGTCACATTTCCAGCAAATGTATTAATTTATACAGCCTCAGCAAGGGCTTTAGCTGTGCTGAAAAGCAGAGTATGTGGAGGGCAAAGGAAGATTCCAGGTTCTCTTGGAATAACTAAGAAGTTCATCTGCGTTTCAGAAGTTTGTTTTGGCCCATTAGCAACGTAATCATTGAAAGAGAGTAGAATACTAGATTTATGTTTTTACTATTCTTTGAACTAATAGGGAGAAAAAAAATTCAGATAAAATAAAGAAATAAGTGGCCCATGGTCTTAACCTTCAGCATAGAATTTAAAAGAAAAAGTACATGCTTTTATAAATGTCAAAAAATAGAGTAAAAAATAGGAAAAGGGAAACAGTCTAGAAGCATCACAGTGTTTATATAATGTTCTCAAAATAAAAAAGATACTTCAAAATGAAAATAATGCAGCATGAATATTAAACAAAAGTTTTTATTTCATTTTCTAGTTATTAATGCTCTCACATTTTATTAATACAAACAATAAATATTATAGTGCCATTTTTAATAAAACACTTTGTTACACCTGATGCTCAGACTAGCACTCAGAAGAGTCCCAAAGTTTTCCCACTGTGAGTTATGATATGGGTAGTCTTAGCCAGGACACACACACAAAAAAAATCACCTTTCACATTTAAGTGGAACATTCATTATTTTATAAAATATAATGGATGATCATTAATTCAATAGGCAATAGTACCAACCTAAGTGTCCTTCAATAGATGAATGGATAAAGAGAATATGGTATATATATATATTTTTTCAATGTAATATTACTCAGCTTTAAAGAAGAATGAAATTATGGCATTTGTCACTAAATTGATGGAGTTGGAGAATATCATGCTAAGCAAAATAAGCCAATCCCACAAAACCAAAGGTCGAATGTTTTTTCTACTATGTGAATGCACTACGGAAAAACAGAGTTACCTTAGATTAGATAGAGGGGAGAGAAGGGAGGGGAGGGGAGAGGAAGTGGGAAAGGAAGAATAGTAGAATAAAACAGACATTATTACTTTGTGTGTGTGTGTGTATGACTGCTTGACCAATGTGTTTCTACAACATGTACAATCAGAAAAAGTAGAAATTATACTCCATCTAGGGGGTATAATATATCAAAATGCATAAATGCATTCTACTATCATGTATAACTAATTAAAAGAAATTAAAAATGTTTTTAAAAACAGGCAACTGTATATTAATTACATTGCTTTAATACCAGATTGATCCCTATCTTGCTTTTTTTCACTGTAGTTTATAAATGCACAAGATTTTTTTAAAAAAGAAAAAAAATCTATTGTTTGCTTAATGCTAACTACCAAAACTTTTCAAGTACAATAAATAGTTTTGAATTTAGAATTATTTACTTCAAATTTCATATATACTGAGTATCCATGCTGACTGCACTTGTAAGGTACATATTTGATAGTTACTTTAAGTGTTTATCACATTACCTCTCAGTATAATCTCCTTATAGCAGGCTGGAACACAAATTATTGTATTTTTTCCTTTCAACAAATAGAGAAATTAAGGTTTTTCTTTTCACTTTAGTAACATTTGTTTGTGTGTAAGGATTCACATATCATAAATGGAATGAAACCTCACTATAACTTCAATGATTTTAATCCCGCTAATTTGGGTGCTAATATAGACAGAATCTACTGTTCACTTAGTTTATTTGTATTTTGTGAAGAAAGGATTTATTAAGGAACTACACACACACACACACACACACACACACACACAGGCATGTGACAATTAATTGTAAAGCATGTAAATTTTTTTCTTTGAATGATCTGAATACTTTGGTGAAGTCTGGATTACCAGAGATCAAGGTAGGGGCAAGCAGAGTCAGTGGAGTCAGGGATCCCAGTCACAGTAGGCAAGGGGAAAGAGGCCTTTAGTAGGGGATAAAGTAAAGTAGGCACAATTAAAACAAAACAAAACAAAACAGGAGATCTGGACAATATTTAGAGTGGCTAAGATCAGAGTCAAAGGAGAGAGGAAGTTAGGGAATTATCCACAAGCAATACCCAGAAGAAAGTGATTAGGACCAAGTACTCTTTCCTCTTTAAAGTGAGATGAGGCACTTTTGCTGCCAGTTGGAAATATGCTGAGCACAGACTGAAAATGATCTGGAGCACTGCTGTGGATAATGTGCTAGGAAGCCAGTAAGATATTTAAAGAAAGACTGTCAAGGATCAGGATACTACATCTGAGGTTAGTGGGATGGTTTTGTAGAGGAACCAACAGAATACTGTCCAGAGCTATCGTAAGATATTTTAAAAAGTGGATTTAGAAAGAGGATCCTGGGAATTTCCCAGTGCTGTGAACTGGGTAACTCTCAGAGACAGAAGGTCTGAAATGAGAATGCTATAAAATCAGAAAGAACACCTTTCAGTGACTGAGCAGTGTTTCTAAGCTGTTACTTAGGAAGGAGTAGTTCCCAGTGACATACATCAATCACCTTCTATTGAAACACAGTGGACATTCAACTAATGATAGTCCTTCCTATTTTTACTCTCCTCTTGTTGTATAGATTTGGCAAATCTGAGTGAAATCAATCCATCAGGGCTGATTTCATGCCTTAATGCCAGGGTGTTCTACTAGGTTGCATAGTGGTTCTACCCTTAGACTTGGACCCAGGCTTTATAGCCTGGCTCCTCACAATATCGATCAACAGCACCCATGTCACCTGAGAGTTTGTTCCTATATGCAGAAGACCAGTTCTCACTCTGTTAGGTTCTGATCCTAAATTTTAATAAGATCCTGAGGTCATCCATGTGCACATAAAAGTTTGAGATATCTTGCTTAGTGAGGCCCTTTCCAGCCACCTTGTGCCTCCTGCCTTCCCATGGAATGAGGAGATCCCAGGTCTGGAGGCCTCTTTACCCAGAGACTACATTCCTCCCTTCTAGGCCACACCCAGGTAACCATGACTCTGGAATTCCCTCCCCAAACACACACAAGTATGACTCACGGTGCCTCCTCCTCTGGTTATGAACCCAGGGTGGACTTTGTAATAAATGTGTATTTACCTTGATCTGAAAGGGGGTTAAGACATGTCTGTTTCTGGAGGCTAAGCACCAAAGTTTCATGTTTAATCCGGGTATTCACACATAACCACGAAGCCATGCAGTCCTGAAGAGCCATTGGTAGAAATCCCTTCACCTCTGCTATATAACATCACCCACTCATGAGAACAAAATTCCATCCTGTTCAGTCCCCTCCTCCACACAAAGCCAGGAGATTATACTGCCCTTGCAGCAGAGCAGGGCAGAATCCTGGAGCCATGTCACAATCCTGATCACACAGGCTCCCACTCTGTTCTTCTTTCCACAATTGTTTTGACTGTTTTAAGTCCTTTGCAGTTCCAAAGTTCCATTTAACTTTCAGAATCTCAGCTTGTTAGTTTCTACAAATATCCTGCTAGAATTCTCACTGTGACTATTTGAGAACTGATGTCTTCACATGGAGTCTCCCAACCCATGCACACAATTTACTTCTCCATTTACTGAGGCCTCCTTTTAATTTCTCTCAGCAATGTTTGTAGTTTTCAGTGTACAGATATTCACATATTTTGTGGAATCCATCCCTAAGTATTTTATGTTTTGTGAGGTTATTATACAACGTATTACATTTTTGACATTTTTTTTTGTTGCTAGTCTATAAAAATACAGCATGTTTTTGAATATTGTCATTGTTTCTTTACTTTGGCTAAATTCACTTGCTAGTTCTAGTAGCTATTTTGGATTTTCATTTCTACATAAGAAGCAAATAAGAACAGTTTTCCTTCATTTCTTACAATTTGTATGTCTTTTACTTTCTTTCCCTTTTAATTGTGCTACCTAAGATCTTTGACACAATGTTGGATAGAGTGATCTAGAATGAGCATCCTTGCCTTCTTCCCTAGTGTAGGGAAACTATTCAGTCTTTCAACATTGAAATTTGGTATTAGTTGCATAGTCTTCTTTGGTACCTCTTATCAAGTTGAGAAGACCTCTTCTGTTGTCAATTTACTTGGGAGATACATCTATACACACACATACACACACACACACACACACTTATCATAAGTACTATATTTTTTCAAATGGTTTTATTGCCTACCTTGAGATGATCATATAATTTTTCTTCCTAACTCTGTTAATATGAAGAATCATATCAACTTATTCTGCACGTTAAGACAACTTTTCATCCTCGATCATCACGTATTATAATTTATGTATGTATGCTGCTGGATTTGATTTGCTATTTTGTTAAGGATATTTTTTATCCTCTATTCATAAAGTATACTGATCTATAATTTTCTTTTCTCATGATGTCTTCATCCGATTTTGGTAACAGGAAATTGCTAACCTCAAAAAGCAAGCTGAAAGTGTTTTCTCTCTTTTCTGAAGGACTTTGTGCAAAACCAGTATTTTTTTTTTTATCCAAGTGATAGACATCTCTAGTAAATCTCTCACAACTTTTCTTATACGCAAATTTAATCATGAAG